AACTATTTCTATTTCTGAGCTAACATATTGATTGTTCATTTTATTCTCTTTGGTTGTATGTCTTGGTTCTCATCGGCCGAGTTCCTGTAGTCTATTTGGGTAAGCGTCTCTCCCGTGACAATTATTTCCAACCTTTCTGTTTTAACCTTGAAATAATTTACATACACAAGTGATCGCCCTTTTTGGCAGGTGGATATGACAAAGAAGAGAAAGCAGCTAGGGCCTACGATTTAGCGGCACTAAAGTACTGGGGAACATCCACAACTACCAACTTTCCAGTAAGTTATAAATGTCCCTATTGCTTTATAGCTAGAGCGGTTCCAACATAATGGATCAGGTTTATAAGAGCCTTTTTGATGATGTCGCAGATCAGTAACTACGAAAAGGAGCTGGAGGAGATGAAGCACATGACAAGACAAGAATTTGTGGCCGCCATACGAAGGTGAAAACTTGCAATTAGCATGCACTAATTTTTACTAGTCATTAATCAGTCAATAATATGTACTAGGCAAAAAAATTTCTTCCTTTATGGTACCCACATGAATGTTATGGTATTGTTCGACGTTGCTGACTGTATAATCAATTTTTGCTGGTTATGTTTTCCAGGAAGAGCAGTGGGTTCTCAAGGGGCGCATCAATGTATCGCGGAGTCACAAGGTGCGATAATGCATCTGATTGTGCGTTCGAGCTTTTTGTGTCATTACTTACTTTATATCTAATCCTTTATTTTATTTTATTTTTTTGGGTTTTCCTTCTTTTGGTTTGTCACTTAGTATTCTGTAGTAACTCGCGTAACATATTTTATTGCAGGCATCATCAACATGGTAGATGGCAGGCAAGGATCGGTAGAGTTGCGGGAAACAAAGATCTTTACTTGGGAACTTTCAGTGAGCCTCCATTTTCAGTAGTTGCATGCAAATAATACACATCGGAAAACAAGAACTAAATTAATTTGAATGATGGTGTATTATTAATTGCAGGTACTGAGGAAGAAGCTGCAGAAGCATACGACATAGCGGCGATCAAGTTCAGAGGACTAAACGCAGTGACAAACTTCGACATGAGCCGTTACGACGTGAAAGCCATACTTGAAAGCAACACGCTTCCAATCGGAGGAGGAGCTGCGAAAACGACTGAAGGAAGCTCAGGCTCTGGAATGTTCCAGGAAGAGAGAGGAAATGATAGCGCTCGGATCGAGCTTTCAGTACGGCAGCGGCAGCGGAAGCGGCAGTTCTAGCAGGCTACAACTACAAGCCTACCCACTGATGCAGTTGGATCAGACGCAACCATTGTTAAGCCTGCAGAACCAGGAGATATCTCAGTACCCGTCACTTCATCATCCCAGTTATATCCAAACCCAGCTTCAGCTGCACCATCAAACTGCTTCTTCTAACTATAGCTTTCACCAGTCACCGAGTAATAACGCTCAGTTGTACAATAGCTATCTTCAGAACCACCCGGCTCTGCTTCAGGGTTTGATGAACATGGGTTCTTGTTCTTCTTCTGTGATGGACAATGACGGAGGGTCTAGTGGGAGTTACAGTGGAGGAGGGTATATGGGGATGGCTTCCAACACGACGTCGGGGGGATCCGCGGAGGAGCTGGCGCTGGTGAAGGTTGAAAACTACAACATGCCGTCCAGTGGTTACGGCGGCGGCGGCTGGCCGTCGGAGTCCATGCAGGGATCCAATGCTGCTCTCTTTACTATGTGGAATGAATGATCCGTGAGGAAGGAGGATCGGAGGAGGAGGGGCCAACCTAACTACCAGACAGTTTTCTTCTTTTGTCTTCACTTTTTCTTTGTTTCTTATCATTCTCGCAACCAGAAAAAGTTATGGAAAATAGTTTGTTTGGACGCAATGACTGGGGAGGAAGCAATGTTCTTCATTCTGGTATTGTAACAAGTTGTTGTCTTTCACTTGATTTAGGTCTCTTGGTAGCGAAGAAGCACTGACTTACATATACGACGTGCAATATTGGCGATCAGGGTTGGGTCGGTCTTGCAATATATGGGCACGAACGGGTTGCCCAAATTTTGTATGCAGACGGCTCACATTTTATAACGGTTTTAAATTATAATGTTCGTTAGTTATATCTCTATTGTTGCAAACCTCTTCACGTGCTCTTGATAGATGCTGAAGTTCATCGGGAGAGAAGTGCCTGAACATATATCATAGGAGAAACCCAGCATTATATTATTGCTTCACCTCCGACATCAAATATTATTTTGATCGACGCCTTCGAGGTTGTGAATATTGAATATCAAATACTATCTCTAGTCCTTAATATAAGATCCTATTTGACTTTTATCTTGATTCTAAATATAAGACTCCAATCCACTTTGTCTCTCATATTTATACATTTTTTCCCAAAGTAGTCTTTCTAACAATGATAGTTCTAGTCAATACACTTGATTAGCAAGGATATTTTAAGAAAGACAACACATATTTAGGATAAATAACTAACTCAACTTACTTTTTAATCTCTTCAAGTTAGTCAATTGACTCTTATAATTAGGACTAGAGGTAGTATCAAATATTAATTGTTCGTTTTCGGTAGTGCTAAATGATTTTAACTCCTGCATATATACAATCTTATTAGAATGATGAGGGTATTTAACTATGGGCCTTTTTAGCGAAGCAACCAAGTTTTCATTTATAAGCACTGATGTGCTGCGAAAATCACCGTACGGCGGATTTGAAAAGTAAGTTTCGTATTATCTTAGTTTTATAGTTTATTTATTTGTTTTAATTTTACTCTTCTACTTATTTAAAATGTTAATTTAGCCCCCTAACATATTCGCTCAATAATCATATATTTCGAAAGTTCTGGATCAAAGGCTTTATTATTTGACTGTGTAAAACATTATAATTAGTTGCGTTTCGTTAAAATGAGTTAATTAGTTTTTTTGGACGATTAACTAATTAAGAAATCATGCCTTAATTGTTGGCAAAAAAGAAAAGAAAAGAAAAGAAACCATGCCTTTATTGCCCGATAGAGCATCTAGGTTGATTTATTTGACTTAGGCTGAAAAAAATGTTAGATGAGCCGAAATTACACTTTCCGGTGATATAGTCTTTCGACCCTAACTGTCATTTAATGTCTGGATTATTTTAAAATCAGATCATAACGTAACAAATAGAATTAGTCAAGGAAACAATATACAGGAAATGAGAGTGAGATCACTGATTATATATGAATATATATATATAGTAGAAAATTTTCATAAAAGGACTTCATTTCATGAGTATAAATATAGCAAATAAAGTCTCATCAACTGGTGTAGTTTAAGCTGTGTTCATTTTGAAAACACTGGAGATAACAAGAGAAAATTTCAAAGGCTGAAATTTGCATGGAATGTGTTGGTGCACTGCATGTGAGTCTATTTGAATGCCTAATGACTTGGACTTGCTTAGTGCTTAAAAAAGCCAGCCGCCAGTACATATTTATTATTATTGGGTGATGGTTTAAGTAAGACGGATAAATGTTGAAGCAAATCTATCGTGGAATGAACATGCGATTGATGGATTCAATGCTCAGAACGCAGATATATACGTCGATTGTCAATAACTCTGTGATAATATGCGACCCAAAATTCTTAGCTTTCTCATATTTGAAGTCTTATTATCGTTGAGTTTGTTATGCTTGCATTCCTTTTTTTTTTTTTGGGTCGAGTCTTCTAATAGCGTACACATCAAGATATTTTATTCTTTTGGATTTAGTTTTAAGTAGCCGGTCCTGAAAAATGATGATGAAGTTGTAAAGTCGAGGTGTTGTCTTTTTCATCTCGTGCTATAAAACGGGAAGAGTCGATCGAGAACTTGAGTATTTGTTTGAGGCTGCTTTGTATATTAGGTCGGTGATTACGGAAATCAACAAGTTTTTGGTGAGCATTATGCGACACGAACCTTGTAAACTTTCCAGAATTATATATTCTTAAGATATGGAACTTTATTATTCACACGCGCACGGATACATATATGAATATTGATAATTATCGGTTGACGAGGAAGCACAGGGTGTCAGTGGGAAGCAATTTTTTTTTTTTTTGGTTAAAAACGAAATTTTGTCTCTCCCATTTTGTTTGATGTCATTGGCAGTAAAAGTATAATTCAGATTGTAAGGAAAACAAATAATTAGAGAGAGCATGGCATGAAAGAGAACAGTTTAAGGACAAACAATTCATCAAGTTGTGCGTGAAATCAGAAATGGATCGCGTCTTTTCGCTCCTGTATTAAAAAAATTACACAAGGTCATGCCCGGGGAGATGTTTTGCCTTGTGGAAAGACAATGTGGATCTTTGGGTAGAAAAGGCCCAATCTTTGTGGGTCTCGACCCAATGATTTCAATGGGTCAAGGCCCAAACAAACACACATGGCCGCCTGGTTCGCAACACTCCCCCTTGCCCCAACTCCTTTCTCACTGTACGTCGGCTCGGATCTTTGTCCCCTCGTTCCCCGTCTCTCCCTCTCCCTCCCGCTGGGATCTTCCAGCCTCCGTTGATTTTGTGCGAGGTATTGCCTTCGTCTCTCTGATTCCTTCCCTTCTCCAATCTCGTTTTTGGTCTCATCTCCCCTGTCTTCTGCTCCGCGCTCAAATTCCTTTTTTCCATTTCTTTCTAATTGTGAAGGAAATCCTTGCAAATCTTTATCATTTCTCTTACCCAGCCCCGACCTTGCTACTCAAGGGCTTTTCTCTCGAACAAACGCTACTTTGTTGTCTGTTTGTGTGTATGTGTGTTTATTATTTTATTTTTTTGCTCCCTTCCTTCATAGTTCCTGGGTAGACGAAACATGCAAACCGAGCTTTCAGGATGCTAATGTAATCGTGAACGGCATGAATTAATGGAATTTTTCTTTTAATTTTTATTGAAAACTTTGTAGGTCGTCTTGGGTGAAGTAAATGATGATTAATAGGTTGTCTTGGGTGAAGTAAATGATGATTAAGTTTCTCTTAGCTTTAGTTTATAGAATTGGTTTTATTAAGGGCATCGAAGTCCTATGAATATTTGCATCTGAACTAAATATTTCCTTCAATTACCTTACTGCTTTATTTGGTGTCTGTAATGTCAGGGATCATTTAAAATTTGATTAAGTGTGGTTTAAGCAATAATGCGTATTTTTGGAATAAATGAGCGAAATGAAAATTTCACGAGTTGACTAATTTGCTGTTGTGTTGATGATGAAGGACAGTTATGGTGAAAGCATACACGCAGGAATACACTTACAGGCACCCATGGGAACGAGTAACTTGTGCATCTTGGCGCAAGTTTGCTGACCCTGAGAACAAGCGTATATTATCCCATATCTTAGAAGTTGACACATTGAACCGCAAGCTTGACCCCCCATCTGGGAAGCTTTATACCACTCGCGCTATCACTATCCATTGTCCTGGACCATGGTTTGTGCGCAAAATTGTTGGTCAGGATATTTGCCACTGTGTTGAATCAACAGTTGTTGATGCACAGTCACGGTCGATGCAGTTAACTACTCGTAATATCAGCCTCCAGAAGTTTGTAGAAGTGGAGGAGAAGATACGATATGATCCTCATCCTGACAATCCCAATGGGTGGACAATTTGCCAACAGGAGACTCGCATCCGTATCAAACCATTGTCAGCATTGGCATCCATGGCTGAAAAGGTGGAGCAGCGATGTGCTGAGAGGTTCATTCAGAATAGTACCAAGGGAAGAGACGTCATGGAGAGGATATGTAAATATCTGGAAGCAGAGTCTAGTGGCCTTGCTCTGTAATTTTGCCTTGATGATTTCATTTCAGGTTTTGTAGTTTAGCTCTTGGATTTACAAATAAATGAGAAAATTGCGTTAGAGTTATATGGAGAAGGGGGATCTTGGACCTGTTACCTTGAACCTTGATACGGCAAAACAAGCAATTTTGGGACAAGTGATATTAAAGTTTGTGATGTTACGATTCCTGCCCGTCTAGATTTGTCTTCTCTGAATCTTGGTCAGGGCCTTGGGAATTTGAAACACATCTCCAGATGTTCTTATCTGTCACCGTTTCTTGTTTTTGAACCAAGACTGCACGAGTCTATGCTCATGGTGACAAGTTCATCGCACTAGATTAGATCCCACCCCCTCTTTACAATCTTCAGATAGAGTCTTCAAACTTGAGTTTTTCTTTTGGGCAAGATTTTTCTTTCAAGCATACAATTAATTTCCTAGTTTAGTTGCCCATTTCTCCTGAAAACGTATATTCTGAAACAGTTAAAGTTTTTCCAGTTTCTTTATCCTCACATCATGCTCATGTCTATGATTCTTCCTGCGTTTCCTAAGACTACCGGCAATGTTAGACGGTATTTTTATCTCTTGAAATAAGCTGAGCCACGAGTTCAAAAGGTACAACTATTAGAGTTACACATGCACTAACCCTCCAGTATAACACTGATGTGAAAATATCACGTTTTTCTTCCAAAGTTGGTATGTCTGTTTTGTTTAAAATCATGCCTGCCATTTTGTATACTCTGGTATATGGAACCCAGCGAACCCAAACGTTTCCCCTATGCTTATCATTACCAAGAGAAGTTTAATAGTTGCTATGAAACCGTCATGATTTAGAGTGCCAATATTTTACACATGGTTCTCGTTACCCAGATGCCATATGGAACAAAGTAGGCGCATTACAAAGCTAATGATAAGCCAACTTTCACCAAACCAGGAGAGATTTAAAGATGACAAACACTTGGATCAACATCTTTTTCCTCCAATCACATGAAATAGTGCTTCAAACTGCAGAGATGTCCAACAATTCCGAGCTCCCGACCACATACAACATAATAAGAACATAAAAGAAAAAGGAGGAAACTCGGGTCATCTCATGATGAAATCGAGCATAACATCAACTCATGGATGAAACCTCAATACATTGGACCTAGATCTTATCGAGCTTTTCAGCCTTGACAACTGGGTTTGCTTTAGCTATGGCATCCCTTTCAGCACTGCGGTAATCGAAGGAACAATTGTGCTTGTCTGAGTAGCGGTGTGCAGCACAGAACAGGTTACCACACCGACAACTGAACCCTGTCAAACCAACCCGCTTATTGCAGCTGCTGCAGCGTTTGGGTCCATCCTTCGGCTTTGCCTCACCATTCTCCTTCAAGCCTGAACCCAAAAAGGGTTCTTCGGATGTAGTTTTAGGCTCTAGTGTATTGACTGTGATATTCACGTTTGCAGAAACAACAGGTTCATTTCCACTGCCGCTTGATGAATTCATAATATTCCCAATAGACGACGCCGCGAGCTTGGCCTGCTCCTGTTTCAACATCATGTCTTTGTGGCACTTAGAACACATGTTCATGGTGGCAGCACTTCCAAAAAATCCACAGTTATTGATGCACAATATAGGACCTTCCGGAGGAGCTTGACATCCAGTCTTGTCATGGTCCATCTTTTCTCAACTTTCCTACGCCGAAGAAATAGAAATTTACATGTTTAAACATATAAGATCAATTCATCAAGTCCCTGTATAAACTATAGATATATTTTCACCATGGAGTAAGCTTTGCATTTCCCTGTATTCATATACCAATAGCAAGCATCAAGATAGTCCTGATATGATAATATACCAAAACAGTCCTTAGTGAACATAGTTGTGTATCCACACCAAAACTTTACTTCTGGTTATATAAAATAGAGGGTAATACACTCAAAGCAGAGTCGAAAAAATACATCATATTCAGATAGCAGCATACTAAGACTTCTATTAGCTAGTCCAATGTTCAGCGAAGCTCCATTTTTCTGGTGTATATATATATTTCTGCTCATAATTGTGCTTGTGACCTGTTCGATGGGCGTGTCAGACCACAAGCCTTTTTCAGGTCATGTAAAGTTAAAAAGAAAAAATTCCAGCCTTCTTTGAGTTAACAAGATAGAATATCCATTGAAACCCACCATCTATTGGAGAAGTAAAGCGATTTGATTGGGGAAAGTGTGAAGACAATGAATATCAACTATGGATCAACATGAAAACAACATCAGCGGTCAAAACCACTGAAACAAAATGCAAAATAACAGATAGATCCAACAATCATCCAGTAATGATCAGCAGCAAGACAAGTTCATAAACTACTGCCAGAACATGTATGCATAATATCAGATATTAGGGCTCTGAAGTGAAGCATCAAAAGAAAACACGCAACTACGTTCATGGCAAACACAACTGCAATGAATCAAGGACTCATCAAAGGGAGGCAATGAGAATCGTTGAAGAGCAATATTTCTAATCTATTCAAATCTCATGATATTTTGGTTGTAGATGCCGACGCCATTTCCCTTGTATATTTTTCGTTCCTTTTTCATTGACCTTTTCAATTTTTGATGGACCCTGAAACTAAAATTTCGTTGCTCTCTACGTTGAAAAGAGGTCAAGTCTTTAATGGTTTTGATTTTTCTTTGGACTAAATAAATGATTCTGAGTTGAAGGGAAATGATTGAATAGGGAAATATTTCACTTCAAGTGGGGTTTGTTGGTGGTTACTTACCTACTAAATTAAATAAGGACACTGGTGAATGGAAAAAAGTTGCAGCTTTCGGGCAGGAAAGTTTACTTGATAATGAAGGACTGAATGAATAGGCCAAGATTTGGGCAAATTAATTTTTTTCTGATCCCAATTAATGTCAACTTCTTAATCGGTAATGTTGCTTTTCATATGTAACTTTTTCATTTGATGTAAAGCTTGTTTTTCTTAATCGGTTTTTGCATTTTCATGGTTACTAGTAGCCTCATATTTCTCTAATTTCATTTGTCGAAAGGATCCACACACACAGGGCAACATGAGATAGAGTTATCATACTTGAGTGAGAACTTTCATATGGAAGGGACGCTAGTTTAATCTAGGATCTGGTCAACCAGAGCATCTCAAATTTTAAGCATGTTTCTGCACAAGGCCTTAATCAAGGATGTAAAACTTCTGTAAAATACACAATCTTTAATAACTAATACTATTCACAAACTATCAACAGTGACCCATTCCTCAAATTTCATGCAATTAACGAAAAAAATGTCTAACTATGAAGTGATAACTTGATAAAGAAAACAAATGACAAGTGCAATTTGAACACTAACAGTTTGTGTCACGTAAAGTCATATAGGCGCACAATATGTTAAAAAATGAAAAGGCCAACACATCCCAATTTCCACAATTTGTGTCTCTACAGAAAGGATCACGCACTGGCACTACTTGTAGAAACCAATAACGTATATATAGACATAAAAACTTATCTTTTCATATGGTGTTTAAGTCAGTGATGACTTTTGTCTTTCTTTTTCTTTAAAAAGTATTTACCCTCATTTTCTAAGCACATTTTTGCCAAAAAGAAAACTAAGTATTTCACAATTACTATTAATTTTAATCAATTTCATGTAGTCATATGAAATTTCAATACTTGTTGGAGAATTCAAAAAAAAAATATGACACAACATTTATTTAGTTATATGAAATACACTTCAAAGAAAATCAAGCAGCTACAGATCACCACTATTAAATGCCTTTCTGCATAAAAGAACACCTAAGGTGACTAAAGCAAGAGCCGTCAATGCTCCCTGCCTGGAAAGCCAGAACTCAGTCCATGTCAAGGGTTTTGAGACCTCAATAAGACCTTCTGAAAA